GTTGGAAGGCATGGTTAATCTATGGCTGTCTAGAAGTATGAGGATAAGGTGGGGTTAGGTTGACTTGCTCTGATCTGATCGTTCTAGTTGAATCTCTTTTCAGTGGAGAAAACTAACTATATTCTAGTCATGCTGCTCCAGCATGGTTTTCTACATGAAGAGAGGAAAATTGTACGTCAGTTGTCAGCTTAAGTATGCCAGGACTGCTTGGTTCCTGTATTCTTTGGGGAGGCAGGGTAGACTTATTGGGCCACTTTCACATGGCCTTGAAACAAAAAAATGGCAACTGCTGCATTGATTGAACTGGTGGAGCATAGAAAGTGGGAAGGGCTATTTCATTAGGCAGTAGCAGCCAGCTTGTCAAGTTGAGCCACACTCTTTTTCTTCTTATTTGTTTCATTACAGCTTAGGCCATGCAAGTGTACCACAGTTATGACAGGTCACTTATCGATGGTTCAAAGTTACCATAACACCCTCCCCCCAAAGTACTTACAACCGAGTCCCAAAGTTAAGTCTGTTGCAGCACTCCTATAGTCATTCATCCTTACAACCAACTACCAAGACACTGCAGCACACACACACTGTCTATTTCCTCCCATTCTGCCCCATTAGGGCAGGTACTGGGCTTGTTTTGCCAGTCCACCAGCTTCCACATGTTCTGCTCCCACCTGCCTTCAGTCACTGATTGCTCACTTACCTTTCCAAGATCTCAGGGCTCAAGAGGTTGGGGTATAGAAGAAGAACAGGCTGCTCCATTGCTGGGCCACATGGCAGAATTCCAGAAGTGGCTTCTTTTTCTGAGATGCTGGTGAAGCTCTACCTTCCTTCCCAAGGCATTAGCCTACTTAGCTAAAGCTTAGGGGAGAGAAGTAGCTATCTCTTGTAGGCTGAAATCGTTGCCTCTCTTCCCAAGGCATAATGGTACACAGCTAAAGCTTGGGGGAGAGAAGCAAGTTTGCCTTGCTAGCATACATTTATAACATGAAGCCTTCTTCGCTTTGATGCTTCTAAAGCTACAGAAATAGGGAAGCTGTACATGTTAGGCTTTGTCTGTGCCGTTCATTATCAAGAGGGAAGAGACACCCCAAGTTTTAGCGACTTCTCTTGTTGCATCTTCTCAAAGCCCCATTGGCTGAAATAAAAGAGAGCAGCGTTTTTTCCTGCTCTTGGTGCAAGCAGTGCCTTCATTGTTGCAAGGAGCCAGGCTGCTTCCCTTCACTCAGTAGGGAATTCAGATTTAAAGGCATCCTTCAGGATGAGCAGTTTTTCTAAAGCACAGGACAGAGTCTGTAGGTAGGGGAACTCCTACATGGGCGAAATGGAATGAGTTGCTGCTGGCATTCCCATACAGTACAGGTAGTTCTCAGGTTACTAATGCAATGGAGCCTGCCCATTCCATTCATAACTCAAGGATTCGTAGGAGTGAATCTCATATCTTGAATGCGATTCACTCCCAGCTTTCACCAATGCATTTGCTAATTTAAAGCGTAGGTGAATGTGTAACTCTTTAAGTGAACATGAGGTATCTCAGGGTGGGGAAGGCTATGGGGGGCTAGTGCTTCCAACCACCCAAGGCCTCCCCCAACCCACTGAAATACCTCATGCTCCCTCCCCTGGGGGCCCACAATTGCTCCCCCCCCCATCCTGCCGCACTAGGTCACTTACCTTGTGAAGATCTGTTTCCTCTCCAGCCTCTCTGTTTCTTTCTCTGCTCCAGGCAAGAGCAAAGGGAGGCCTCCAAGGCCCAGAATGGACCTCTGGAAGCATATGGCTGCCTCCTTGGCTTCCCTTCAGGGCCTCCGAGGCCTGGAGGAGGCCTCCGAGGCTCAGAATGGGTTTTCGGGGGACACTTCAGTGGGGTTCCAAATGCCCAATCCAGGCCTCAGAGGCCTTTTCTGGGCCACTGTCGCCTGGAAAGGATGCTTCAGCAGGGCTCTGAAGGCCTGATCCAGGCATCGAAGGTCTTTTCCAGGCTGCTGCTGTCTGGAAATGATGCCGGGGGATGTTTCAGCAGGGCTCCAGAGATCCATTCTGGGCCTCAGAGACCTCCTCCAAGCTTCTGAGGCTCAGAAGAGGGGCCAGGGGAGGCTTTTGTGTGCCTCTGGAGGTCCGTTCTCTCTCGGTTTCTGTTTCATTCTGTGTTGCAGAGAACAGAGGCCTAAACTACCATGAGATCATGCAAGATCAGTAGCATGAGGTCTCACTCCACCGATCTCGCGTGATCTCACGTTACTTTAGGCCTCTGTGAATGCACCAAAGGAAGCAGCAAAGGAAGCAGCCACAAAAGCAAAGGATCTCTCTATCTTCGCAAGGTGAGTATCCATAGGCCTTGTGTCTAGGGAGACTGTGGGGTGGGTGGAGGGAGGTGAATGTTGCAGTGCCACTGTGGTCGTTTATAAGAGCAAAAAACTGCCATGATGCGGCAACATTCATAATTTTGGGACTTTTTCGCAAACACTAGGGGACACTTATCACATAACTTTGAACGTTCGCTAAGGAAACACTCATAACTCAGGGATTGCCTCTATTTCAAAAATTTCCAACAAGGGCTTTATATGCTATTTTCCACAGCTCAGTTGTGGTGAAAACTCCCAGCATGATCTAGCAACAGGAGCTGGGCTGCCTTTACGAGGTAAAATGGGCTGCTTTGGAGAAGTTTATGCTCTCAGCAAGTTCAACTCTTGCAAGCAAGTTCTTTATCTCAAGAAAGGTAGGAAGGGTAGGAAGGTAGGAAGAGAGAAATGCATATTCCTTTTAAGTCTTCAAACGGCAACTCAGAAGAAAGGAGTGGAAAATCCAAGAAACGTGTTCTCATGCTTAAGAGTTGACCTTCCTTGGAGCCTAAACTTCTCCAACCCAGCACATCTTACCCTGTGAAGCCAGCTCACTGACAAAGCCTAAAGCACACAGCTTACCTATTCCCTAATCCTGCAGCTTTAAAAGCAGCAAACCAAAGAAGGAACGGGGAGGAGGCCTAAGTGGCTGTGAAAACTCCAAGTGGTGGGAACAGAATATGGGATATCTTGGGGTGGGGGGAGGGCTTGGGAGGTTGGAGGCAAAGGCAACCCCCCCTGGGGCACCCCATATTTCACCTAACAACCCATGTATTCATTTTACAAATGCATCAGGGAAAGCAGGGATGGGAGCTCATTCATTTAATGTTATTCACTTAACATCCTCACGACCTTCAAACATAATTGGCAGACTCAATTACATTCATAACTTGAGGATTTCCTGTATCTTTAATTACAGGTAGTCTTTAGGTCACAACCATTTCTTCAGTGACTGAAATGATGATGGCACTGAACAAAGGGACATATGACTGGTCCTTGATGTTCCAGCCATTGCAGAGCCCCTGTGGTCGTTTGAACAAAATTCAGGTGCTTGGCAACCAGCTCACATTACAATGCAACATCCCACAATCATGTGATCACTGGCCTTGTCTGCCAACCTCCTACAAGCAAAGTCAATGGGGAAACCAGCAAGGAAGGTCACAAATCATTGCAGTAAGTCTGCCCCCCCCCCAACAGCTTTTCTTTGCTCACACACGCCACACACCTTTCCTCACTTGTTTGCACCCACTAGCACTCTCCTTACATACAGGCATACACCTACCATTGCCCTCCTTTTCTGGACCTTCACATGCACACACCCAACATGCACACACTCAGCATTCTTCTTTAACAGGTTCCCTGTGCTCACACACAGGCACACACCCACCAGCATCCTACTTTCCTGGGCCTTCCTATGCTTGCATGTACCCACCAACATCCTTCCCTGATCTTCCTATCTTTACGTCCACCCACCAGTGCCCTCTTTACTCAGCCTATACTCATCATAGGGACCATCATAGCTTCCCTATGCTCATCTGTCCCTGGCCTCCCTGTGCTCACATCATATAAATGATGACTTTTCAATACTTTAGCCTTGAGTACATTAGCAGTTCTGTAAAGTTTTCAATTCCAGTATTACTATCTAAAACTCTTTTTTATTTTGCCTTGACTTGCAATTCTCAGTGTTATTTTCCTTGATAGTAAAGGATGCAAAGAATTCTATAAGAGTATATTTTCCCTTATCTAAATTATATTGAAGCATTATCATAGTTACATAATAGTTACATAATGACAATTTGATTTTTGTGTGTGTGCGTGTATGCCTTAGTCTTTCTTGACTCCTGATGACTGCTTGGGGAAATCTATGTAGTTTGCCATTCCTAGGGCTGAGAGAGTATGACTGGCCCAAAGTGACCCACATGACTTCATGTCTATCAAAATCACTGTTACTTGGTATTTACAAATGCATATATAGCTAGTATAGGTTAGAATTTTGCAACTATTCTATCTGTATTATAAACCAAATCATTTTCATTCATGTCTTTGTTTCTTATCAAAATGCCAAAATCCCATCTGATAATTTTCCAAGGGAAAAATCTTGTACATTCCTATTCAGAAGTCACAGACACTCCAACTGAATTCAGTGGATAGTTGAATATAATCTAATGCTAGATAATCTTCTACAATTTCTTGTACAATAAGAATTTCTTCACAGATTATTAAAAATGATTCTATGGTTTAAAGTATCTTTGGGAGCTGCATGCTTACTTCTAAATCCCACTGAAGAAATTTGTAGATAATAATCATGGTTATAAAATCCCAAGCTTTGGGGGCTAATTTGCATTTTATTTTGTGGATGAGTGCATTTGGGAAAAAAGGAAAAAACTAGATGGAATAGTGACAGTTATGTTGTTAGTTAATTTAAATTACATGAAAATTAATGTGATTATCCCTGTATATATCTTTTATCATATTATATCAAGTACAATTTAATTATAGTCTTGAGAGGGATTTCGGGAGGTATACCCACATTTTTCAAGGTTCACATGAAGCCTTTGAGGCTTCAGTTCTGTATCCTGATTTAATAGGAGTACTTCATTGTTTGATATAACTTGTGTAGTATGTAGTATTGATTATGTCATTTGCAATCCACTATTTTCTTTGTAGTGCCTTCTCCTGGTGCCTTGATGACAGATAGTTCTACATCATTGGGAACTGCAAAGGAAGTTGTAGCTATTAAAGACTATTGTCCAAACAACTTTACTACATTGAAGTTTTCCAAGGGAGATCATCTGTATATCTTAGATACCTCAGGAGGTGAGTGGTGGTATGCACACAATACCACAGAAATGGGCTATATCCCATCCTCCTATGTGCAGCCCATAAACTATTGGAACTCGTCATTAACTGACAGTGGAATGATAGACTATCTCCTTGAAAATTCTGATGAAGGAGCAAAAGAGCTGGATCTGCTTGGAGACTGGTCAGATGCAAAGTGGAACTTAGCTAAAAACAACCCTTTTTTGAACAGTACTCAAACTACTAACCATTTTCTGAATGGAAATATGAAAGAAATGTCAGAAAAAAGCAAAGAAGGTTTTCCCCAAATCACAATGGATTTGTTACTGTTTGATACAGTGCCGACATTTACAGGGTCAAATTCTGCAGCACATAGCAGTGCAGGTAATAATCTTGATAAAGTGCCATCAGTGAATGGATTTGATTTTGAGCAACCAAACAGACGAGACAATCCTTTTTTTAGAAGCAAACGCTCATACAGTTTAACAGAGCTCTCTATACTTCAGGCAAAATCAGAAAGTCCATCTTCATCAGGTTTCTTTACTGGATTGAAATCTCCTACTCCAGAGCAATTCCAAACTAGAGAAGATTTCAGGGTTGCATGGCTAAGTCATCGGAAACTAGCAAGATCATGCCATGACTTGGATCTGCTGGGTCAGAACCCTGGTTGGGGTCAGACACAACCTGTGGAGACCAACATAGTTTGCAAACTGGATAGTTCAGGTGGTGCAGTTCAACTTCCAGATACAAATATTAATATTCATGTACCTGAAGGACATGTGGCTGATGGAGATGCACAACAGATCTCTATGAAAGCTCTATTGGATCCGCCACTGGAGCTCAACAGTGACAAATGCAGTACCATAAGTCCTCTGCTAGAAATTAAACTGAGCAACATGGAAATCAGAACACCCATTATATTGGAAATGAAAATTTCAGCAGAAGTTAACAATGACATTGTGAGCAAGAATTTAGTAGCGATAAGGTGCCTTAGGAGTGATATGAAGGAAGGCCCATATACTCCAATGGTGCTAAGTTACTGTTATGGAGGCACAATCAAAATTCAGTTGGAGAACCTGGAGCCCTGCATGTATATAGCTGTTGTAGCCCAAGGACAGAACATTTCATATCCTTACACAGTTTGGGATTATATGAGTAAAAAAATTACAATTGGGGTCTATGGTCCAAAACACATACATCCTTCATTTAAAACTGTAGTTGCTGTATTTGGACATGACTGTGCCCCAAAAAGTCTTCTAGTGAATGAAGTTACATGTCAAGTACACAGTGCAGCACCTGTAATGCTGCACCTGTGGGGAAAGCACCAGTTCTTCTTAGTAAGGCCACAAGACCTAAAACTTTGTATGTTTTCAAATATGCCTAATTATGAGGTGAAAGCCAGTGATCAGGCAAAAATGGTGAGAGGATTCCAAATGAAGCTTGGCAAAGTCAGTCGCCTCATTTTCCCTATCATATCACATGACCCTAATGAGCTGTCTGATTTTACTTTAAGAATACAAGTCAAAGATGACAAAGATATTATGCTTGCTCAGTTCTGTGTACAGACACCTCAGCCACTTCTTAAAAATGCTGCTAAGTCCACTGGACAGCGACGGTTTCTGAAAAAAAATGAAATTGGGAAAATAATTTTGTCTCCTCTTGTGACCACCTGCAAATATCCTGTTTTCCAAGATCGGACTGTAGCTGGTTTAAAATATGGCAAAATGCTGAAAACAGTAGTGAGGCAAAATAAGAACCATTATCTCTTGGAGTATAAGAAAGGAGACACTATAGCTTTGCTAAGTGAGGAGAAAATCAGATTGAAAGGTCAGCTCTGGACCAAGGAATGGTACATTGGATACTATCATGGTAAAATTGGCCTAGTCCATATTAAAAATGTTTTAATTATTGGAAAAGTCAAACCAAATTATTTCTTTGGACCTGAGCTTACCACAAGTATGTTGCTGGAGCAAATCCTAAGACCTTGCAAATTTCTGACCTATATCTATGCTTCAGTAAGGACTTTGCTGATGGAAAATATTAGCAGCTGGCGTGCCTTTGCAGATGCTCTGGGATATGGGAACTTGCCACTTGCTTTTTTCTGTCGAGCAGAATTGGACAGTGAACCAGAATGTGTTGCTTCTGTGTTGGAGAAATTGAAAGAGGACTGTAATAATTCAGAAAGTAAAGATAAGAAATCTTTCCAGAAAGAACTGATGTCTGTAAGTATTTTCACTGTCCATTGTTTTAGCTTCTTGTTGGTTTAATAGTGCAGTTAAATGAATGTGGAAATAATAACTGGGTTTTAACAGTGTCTATGTAATATAAGTTCTAGCAACTAAGGCAGCACCTACTGCTTGCTTCTAAAATAATTCAGCTAAAAAGAACAGTTTATTTTTTTAAAAAAAACATATTAAGCATTTGGTTATACTATTCCCGATACTTTTCCTAAAATATACCAGTAGCCTTTTGAAAAATATCATCAATAAGAATTTGACAACTCAAAAAGTACTATATATCAGGGGTCCCCAACCTGTGGGTCATGGCCCAGTACCAGGCCGCAGCCTATTGGCCACCGGACTATGTGAATGGCTGGCCAATGAGCGCATACAGCCTCACTCGCATGAATGTCGCCACTAGCATTGCGGAAATTTGCGGCCCCACTCACATGAACGTCACTGTGAGAATTTGTGGCCCCATTTGCGCAAACGTCATTGCGAGTCAACGGTTTTTGCAGCCCAATTCATGTGAGCATTGTGGGCTTTTGTGGCCCCATGTGCGAGTGCTCACATCACCACAAGTGTTGAGGGCACTCGCAGCTCCACTCACATGAACAATGGGTGTTCATGCATGCTCACGAATGTGCACATGCATTACCCCTCCCCCACAAACCATCCCTTTCCCCCCTCCGCCTGCTCTGGGCTGTCAAACCTGAAGGGTTGGGGAATTCTGCTATATGTCACTTTTTTGTGTCTTCCAGTCAAGTTTGATTCCTGGTAACTTACCGGGATGAGTAACTGTGAACAAAATGAAGTAATGAAGAGGACTACTTGTCCTATAGCTGGATAATAATGTCACTTCTGAAGAATGACATTTGCCGGTCAGGATCAAACTTCTGGATGTGGGCAGAGTTAGCCTGAAATACTGCAATCTAACTACTATGCCCCCATGGTTCCAATAAATTACTAGCCTTTTCTTATGGAAGATTATAATGTCTACTCTAAAATGGGCAGTAGTATATCCTCTCTTGAAAAATTCTTCCTTGGAACCAGCTGTTTTGAGAACATAATATTCATTTCCAACTTTCCCAATCTTTCAAAGTGACCTTGAGAAGGTTGTGATAAATCATCTACAAAAGAACTTAAATGAAATGGATTAATAAAATCTTTACTCTAATCGAACCTGCCTCTTTGAATAGATGATCAAAGAGGCCTATTGCAGAGCCTTCCTCTTTACAAGTTCATAGGGTATAAACCATTTGAAAGAACGTCTCACTTACAACACCTGCTTTATGGAATTTCTCTTCACCCTCAGATAGCAATACTGTAGTTTAGACTTATATACTACTTTATAGTGCTTTACAGCCCTCTCTAAGTGGTATATAGAGTCAGTATATTCCCCTGAATAATCTGGGTCCTCATTTTACCCATTTCCAAAGGATGGACGTTTGAGTCAATTTTCAGCGGGTGAGAATCAAACTGCTGGCAGGCACCACGGTACAGATACAAATTGCTTTGACCTTGCTGGCATTTCATGGATATATCAAAGCTGTTTTGTTCCAGCATGTGTTAAGTGTCTAGATTAATTTAAGAGTGGGGTACCTGTAAGTCTTAGTAACATTATTTTAATTGTTTATATTTAGTTTCCATTTTTGTTTTGACTTTATTGTCACAAAAGGAGCAGGTTATAAATATTATTAAATAAATTAGCTGTTGTATCACATGCAGAATGGCCTCTGACCAAGTGGTGTTCATGGCTACTCTGGGCAAGCAAAGCATGCAATTTGCACATTAGAAGCAGGAAGATTAGGCTATTAGGCTAAAAATAAGGCTATTTTTAGATTATATTCTGCCAATTGGAAGTGCCCCAAAGGAATTAGGAACCCTAATATCAAGAGTTGCAGTCATGCACTATTGAAAATGAATAATAATATTAACTCTACATAGGAAAAAGAGTCAACAAAATATAATTTTAGAAAGCAAAGACTGAGCAGAATTATTCAGAGTGCTTAGAAGACATGACAGTAAGACATGGGATTAAATTACAAGAAAGTAGATTTTGTATGGCAATCAAGGAAAAATTCCTAACTGCAACAGCAATTCAATGATGGAACAGTTTTTATCAGAAGATGGTGAAATTTCTTTTGCCTGGTTGTATTCAACCAGAGCTGGATGGACTTCTGTTAGGGATGCTTTAATAGAGAATTCTTTGATTGAGAAGGAAGTTGGATTAGGTGATCTCCAAAATACTATCCAGCCTTTAAATTGTTAGTACAGAAAGACAAACATGATTAACAGGTATGGGATGAGTGTCATGACTGAAGTACAGCAACAGAAGAATATATTTTATTTGGAAGAAATATATACAATCGAAAGGGAGGGAGAATTGCATTGTATGCTAAGGAATGAACTTGGTAGCACTGTAGAGAGCATCTGGGTTAAGCAAAGCAATATTAGTGTCTATAATTGCCCATTTTACTAAGGAAATGCAAATAGTGCTCTGTAAGTGCAACTTGCAAATCTTTCAAAAAGGCATAATATTGTAATGGGACTTTAAATGACCCTATTATCTATTGAGAGACAAAACTCTGTTAAGCATGGTCCTTTCAGACAATTATGACGTCTTTTCTACACAGAAGATGAAAGAAAAAACAAGGGAAACAGCTATCCTTGTCTTGATTCTAACTAATAGAAAAACATAGCTAAGGAAAATGAAGATGTAATGCAGAAACTAATGCATTAGTTTTAATCAAACACTTCTTGGACAAAAGCACATCTAAATAAAATTAGTAAAATTAGTAAGAGACCTTCATTGGAAATGGAATTCAGAAAGAATGGGAATTTGCATTTTTACAGTACAGTTGTACTGCTGAAAAGTTTGCTTGATGTATAGACCAATGATAGAATTGGAGAAAAATGGAACATTTACAAGGCCATTTTAAATGTTCCACTTTTCTCCTTCCAATTCACTGCCATCCTTTGCTCAGAGAGATCCCCCACCACTACCTAAAAAGCAGAGAATTGGTCAGATTGTAAAACAATCCAAAAGAATTAATAAGAATTTAAATTAGTCATTTCATGGGGCAGGGGAATAGAAACAGAAGCCAGAGCACATGAATGTGCCAGACTACTGTCAGTAAAACAGAGACTTGCTCAGCTAATCACTTTTTTACAATGTTATTATACAATAGTTTCTCATAATAAATTTAGATCATAAACGTATTTTTTCTTTTGAGAAACAGCAAATCACATTTTGTCAGATTTAGAACATTAGATCCATCCTACATGTAGGCTGTTTTTTATTTACACATGTGGAATCACCAAAATAACTTGTACCAGTATTTTTAAAGAATAAAATTATTTGAAAGTTGTGAAGTGAACTTTTGATTGTGCATCCAGCACTGTGAGCTATATTTAGTTGTAAAGTTTTCTTTAATGGGAAGAAATATTTTAAATAAAAGTATCCAGGTCCATTAAAAAATATAGATTCAAAGTTAATGGCAGCAAGAATTGTACCAGACTTTACACATGTTGCGTGGACCTCACCTGATTCTAAGGGCCAGGGTATGATTCCACTATTAGGCCAACACTTGACTATCTAGCTGCTGTTTCAACACCTCCAGTAAAAATGCACCACTTCCTGAGATAGTTCAACAACTACTACCATTAGAAAATATTCTCTGACATCTATCCAAATTCTACTTTCTTGTGCTTTAAATCCACTGTTTCTTGTTTTCTCATCTGGAACAACTCCAAACAATTCTACCCAACTTTGGCTTTTTCAAACTACATTATGTTGGCTTGGTTTACTAAAGTTTGCATCAGTCAGCTGTCTTTTCTAAAGTAGAGCTGGTAAATTATTTTTCAATAATGCATGACTTCTGTTGTGTTTTCGGTTCGCACGCAATTGACGAAGACGCATGGTGGAAACAACAGCTCTTTATTCTCCTTCTCCAACTCCAAGGAAAGAAGCAAAAGGCACGCAGGCCTTTTATAGGGTCAGGAACCCAGACAGTGCTAAACAATAGGAACACAGCGTCTTCGCGCCTTGCGCATGCGCACAAGGCTGGTGCTGCTCTGTCTGGTCCCGGGCAGCTTTTACAATGCCCGGGACCATTTGCAACCTTTCTGGGCCTGCTGAGTTTCCTCAACAGGCCCAGGACACAACGCCCCTCCCCCCTAGATAAAACATACAATTCCAATTTTCTTTACAATAATAATAAAATAAAAGAAATAATATTCTACTCCATACAACACCCTTCTATAACTAATAGGGTTAGCTAACCAACCACTCTCTAATGTGGACTTCGTGTGTTTATCGTTTACCCAACATAGGTCCTATCTCCTTGACCTAGACCTGTATGGTCCCTTCTGTTGACCTGTATGGTCCCTTGTGTTGACAGGAACCTCACATAATTGCCTAGATGCTTAGGAGGGGCCTTAGCCCGTTGTGACCTATGCAAGGTTAGGGAGGGGGCCTGGCTTGTCAGCTCACCTGCTCGGCTAGGCAGACCAGGACTTGTACTTAAGGGCGCCTGGCCTACCGGCCCGTCTGGTGGGCTCGCTAGACCAGGACTTTTATACACATGTTTTGCAGGTGACCCCTGGTGAGGCGTACTGGCGAAATTGCCAGAGCTCTTTCCAGGCTCCGTTAGAGCAGCTGGAATTCCCCAACCTTCTGAATTGGCTGAGGTTTCCCCAACTACCCTGGATGGCTCCAGGGAACTTAATCCCTCGAGCCCGCGACCAGTCTCGGACGTGACCTGCGTTGCAGGAGTGCCCCAATAGTTCCAGTCCCCTGTGGCTGAAGTGCCAGAGTCAGGAGCCACCTCTATGGCAAACTCCTCCTCAAGTGAATTCCTGTTTGGAGCTCTTGCGGATATGCATGACTCCCTGTTCGGCGCAATAGCTGAACAGGGAGTCCACCCCTGGGAAATCCCTAGTGTCCTTCGGTACTTCCCAGGAGCAATGGGGCAGGGTCTCAGGATGTTGACCTGAAGTGC